AGATGATGAAGGCGTATGGTCCTACAGGCTATGCCTTTGAGCGTAATTTAATGAACAGTTCACCACTCTCTGACACATGATAAAATAACCAGAGCGCTATGAATGGAATGACGTATTTTTTGTGTTTTGTGTCAGACCTGTATGTTTGTGTCTAGTGGCCGGTCTCATCGTCTCCTTCCTCGGCGGCCGTCATCGCGCTGCCACGTAGCCAGGTGCCAGAAGGCATGAAGCAGGTTGTGACCGCCGACTTTTCGCAGTCTGGTTCAGTTACTCACCATCCAGTGCGACTCTTGGCAATCTGGGCAGTGATATCTAACCGTTATAGCAAGGCGGTATAAGTTCGATAAGGGCAATAAAGAGCGTTAGGCATTGAAGTTTGACGGGAACATGGCCACGGTCGCCAGCCCTTCACATTTTACATGAAATTAGGACCAGCAACGGCGAGGTTCTTTCAGTTCTCATTATAAACCATTACATGTTATGAATATTTTTATTATTGGTGATTTATTTTTATTACCTGTGCCCACCAATCGATGGATACTCGCTGGTGTTCGATTCAGCAAGTGGTGCTAATTTGAGCCAATGCACTGCAGTTGCTAAAGTGCCACAGACCGTGCTGTTAAATGTTCCTATTAAAAGAAACGGAGATGGTGTCACTGCACAGTAAGAATCCGTGGAAATGACAAACGACAGAAATTATATTTCGTATTTAACGTTTGTTTGCACTGGATTCATGAATTTTTGTTCACTGCACATTGGAAGGTATTTGCATTAGAGCGTTGAAGCAGCGATTTAGATTTTCGATAAACAATGGTAAAGTTAAATCACACTCATTAAAATCATGTACTAATGGGTCAAAACAATTAAAACCCCCTGATGATATCCTAGTATAATTAGTAGTTGTATATTCCTAAGTAGGAGCAAAACAAATTGAACGAACTTTTAGCATATGTACCACAGGAAACGCCTTAAAATTTAAGATCTGCAAATATCTTATGCGTTCCTGCCGCATAATGTGAATATGAAAGCTTGTCATTGAAGAAATAAAAGGCCGGACAGTCGGTACTTTGGATGCATTGTACGGACGATTGTTACGAACTTCTTCACAAGACCTCAGGGCGAAACTCGATGAACGGCATGGGGGCATAGCGCGCTAGAGGTTCGTTCTGAACTGGAGGATGCACTGAATTCGTTTCTGGCGGGTGTATCTTGCTTATACCACGAAGTCCTTTGAGCAAGGAACTTGCAGCTCGTCGCTTCAGACAGGGGGTACTCGATCGGTAGAGCGTCAGCTACCGTAGTCCCACAGCTGCTGTCGATACTGCCTTTGAAAAATGAGGCATTCCTGACAAGATATCATGCAAATTTAAATTAGCGTCCCACCGTTCATGAAAACAAGGGTGATAGAATTGGCTCCAACCAGGAAGACCTACATTCTATAAAGGCTTTATTAGTTTCCTCTCTCTGGCAGTTTGCGCTGACTGAAACTATGATAATTTCTCTGCATTACTAAAATGAACAGCGCCTGAATGAAAAAAGTAATATTAAAAAGTAGTACTATAACTTTCAAAGAACATAGCCACGATCCGATGAATTGACAACTTTAGCCGATAAACTAAACCCAGAGTCAGTGGCTAAAACACGATGGAGAAAGTGGTTCATGAAAGGAGGCCAACACGCCATGAAGTTTGTCCAGCCAACAGCGCAGTCACAATGAGATGGAGAAACAAGGCTATAGAGTGTTTGCTCATCAGTAGGTTATTTCCTACGGAACTGTCACACTTCAAAAGGCGTTTATTTATCAACCAGCCAGGACCCACATGGCCTTGACGTCAGTCAGACAGAAACGTAGGACTCGCTGCCACTTCTGTCGAGGTGCTCCTCGCGCAAAACATGCAAAAGCATCAGGCTACGATGCGAGTGGAGTCGAGTCAAGTCGAGCGGCGGTAAGCGAGAGGAGCGAGAGGAAGAGGCGAGTTTTAATCGCCCTCGCCAACTGGACGACTCGACGACAGCGCGCTGCGCAGTTGCTGCCGTCGTTTCTGTACACTCTCCAAATGCCCAGCAAGAATGCGGCGGTAAAGGTCGATGTCGATGTGACAAAGTCTTACGCTGGACACGATGGCTTCTCTGCTGTTCGCTTTCGAGAGCATCCGAATATTCGAAGACGGCGGATTTGTCTCAGTTCCCGCCTCTGTTGCGATCGGCCATTCATCAAGGTTTCTTAGGCAACTGCACCCTTGAGCGAGTTTTCGGCCGACTCTCTTAGTCTCTAGCACAATGAGAGACCTAAGTAAGTGGCTTCTGCCAAAGCTTTTAACTAG